TTCAACCGAAGCAAGATATTCAACGACGACTTGGCAGTGCTGCACATGAACAAAAGCCACATCAAATTCAACCGGCCTGTTTATGTAGGGATGAGCATCCTCAACTTATCCAAACACTTGATGTACGATTTCTACTACAACAAACTGAAGAAACAGTACGGCGACAAGTGCGAAGTGCTGTACACAGACACGGATTCCCTGCTGATGGAAATGCACACCAAGGACGTATACGAGGACATGAAGAAACACATGCGCCTGTACGACACCAGCGATTACCCTAAAGATCACCCTATGCACAGCCAAGTCAACAAAACAGTACTCGGCATGATGAAGGACGAATGCGCTGCCACGCCGGTCGCGGAATATGTCAACTTGAGACCTAAGACGTATTTCACCAAGAAAGCAGACAACGATGAAATCACATAGGCAAAAGGCGTGAAAAAACATGTGGTGAAAAACACATCAAGCACGCCAGATTCAAGGAAGCCCTGTTAAAGAATAAAACGTTCAAACACAAGATGAACATGCTGAAAAGTGACGGACACAGGATATACGGACTGAGAAGTCACTGTCCCCCATGGACACATACGATGGATCGTCATCGACGGAGTCACCACTTACGAGTACGGGCACATGCACATATTAAATAATTAAAACGCACGCAATACATACATCATGGAGAAAATTTATTACAGCCCACGCGGGTACCGGAAAGGCATGGACGCCATCCCAAAACTCACCAAAGCCAAAGAGTCTCGGAAGACGTCGCCAAAACTTGGCTTAACAAACAAGCCATCTGACAAGTCTACCTGTCGGCGCCTCGATACATCCCGAGAAGAAAATTCAACATTTCACACCGAATCGCGTCCACCAATCTTACCTCCTGATTCTCCCTCACGACAGGGTGAGGCGTAAAACCTACAAGTACGCCCTGACAGTCGTCAACGTCACTGTATTGCAAATCGACCCCGTACGCGAGTTCATGGGAGCCGTGTCACTACTGCTGGCCAAGCATGACGTCCAGGTGAGACGAGGTGTGGCGGGAGCTCACCAAAGCCAAGCCATAATCAAGCGATTCAATCGCACCTTAGCCGAACGTCTGTTCTCACATCAGTAGTCGCAGAATTTAATGGATCCCAAAAACAGAAACACGGAATGGATCGTACGCTTACCGTGAGTGGTGGATGCTATCAACAACAAAGTCACCAGACTCGTGGGCAAGAGACCCGTCGAAGCCATCAAAGTGAAATCTGTCGAATCGTCGTTGGGAGCAGCACGTCATGATAAAACAGAGAAAACATTACCGGACCAGGTCAGCGTTAGGTACTTGTACCAGCCGGGAGAATACGAGCGAGACAGCAGAAAACGCGCCACCAATCCGATATGGTCCATTAAAACGTACAACGTAGACCTTGTCGACATCAAAGACGGCGAACCGAACTTGTATTACTTAAAAGACGGACCGCCGAGAGCATTCGTCAAAGAGGAGTTGATGATCGTACCTCACGACACAGTCCCTTTTAGATCACCCACTGTATGATAATTCTAATGATTATTTGTGTGTACTATTAGGTTGTGGTATGCTATGTGGCCAGCCAGCTCTACAGTGAGCTGCACATGGTGAAAAATAGCTGAGCCGAGACACACACACCCACAGCGCTAGCTCGGTGATACTGAGACGACGACCCCGGGAGGAAAATGCCGAAAGATGAGTTTCATTCACTTTCAGATTTCTGTAGCCTCGCTAGTCAGCCAGCCGAGCAGCATCATAGCCGAGCCGAGAGACACACACACTTATACTCGTCCACAGTGCTCGTTCAAAGCAACCACCGAGACGGTAGCGAGTTGATGACTTCCGACTTTCATTCAGCTAAAACACCTCTCGCCTCGTTAATATACAGTACAACCAGAAATTATTGAGAATTTAAAGATTGTAATTTATAAAAAAAAATTCACTCATTACTCAAGTATTAATGTGAATATTATCAGAACATAACTCCAGATTGAAAGACAGGTGAACAGTTAGTACTTTGTCAAGTCACCATGGGCAGCAATGCAGGCTTCAATGCGGCGGGGCATACTACTGATCAAAGACGTTAGAAAGTCGTGGTCTACGCTGTCCCAATATCGGACCGCCTCTTCTTTCATTTCAGCAATATTTGTCAGATTTTTCTTATTGACACTTTCCTTCATAAGTCCCCAAACATTTTCTATTGGATTTAGGTCAGGGCTATAGCTTGGCCAATCTAATAATGTCATATTTTGGGTCCGAAACCAGGCCTGTGAATGCTTTGAACGATGTTTTGGGTCGTTGTCCTGCTGGAAAATCCAAACATTTCCATAGAACACGGGAGCAGATGAAGGTAAATGTCCCTCGAGAATATCTGTGTACTGTTCACAGTTCATATTCCCTTCAAATACACAGAGGGGCGTTGCCCCTAACTCAGATATGCCACCCCACACATTAAATTTCGGACTGTACTTTAGGCGCTGATACAAAGGTTTTTTAGTTTGTTTGGTCCAGAATTTAAGTGTATTAGGAAACAGCCACACAGAACTTTCATCTGAGAAAATCACATTGGCCCAGTTAAAATTTCTATGCTGTAAGCACCAGTTCAACCTTCGCTCCTTTTGTTCAGGTTTCATGATCGGTGATGGAATTCCCCGACTTTTCTGCCAACCCATTGCATGCAGCTCAGTTCTAATTGTCTCCTTACAGACAGCCACAGTTCCTCAATCAATCATATCCAGCCTTAAGTTTTCTAAACTCCTTCGTTCGTCTTTAGAAACAATAATACCAAGCCACCTCCTGTCACTGACAGTCAGTTTTCTTGGCCTACCTGCTCCTACCTGGTGCTCAATGCCATATCCATTTGCAATATTTTTCAAAACACGATAAACAGTGGACAAAGGGATGCCTGTTCTACTTGAAATCACTTAGGTGATCTGATGTCCTTGTTATAATACTCTAAAGTCAATTTCCTCTTCTCTAAATCATCTGAAACTGCCGTCTGCTAGCGAGTAAACAAAGGGGAATAACTCTTCACATAACTCTTAACTAATGAAAAAGGATTAACGGAGTTGACTCTTTTGAATGAAACCAAGCACTTGATAGCTGGTCAAGGTTGTTTATACTAGAAATCAAATTAAACATATTCCTAAAATTCTCAATAATTTCTGGTCATACTATATAACAAGTACGACAATACGTTGGATTGTTAGCCTTTCGCCAGATCGACCCCATGCTCACTAAAAAGTGATTATTTCCAAAACCATTTGATCGATTTTCGTGAAATTTTGCATGCATCTCGGCAGATGGTTACACTATACCAAAACGGCATTGGGAACACTCTCGGTGACTTCATTAGATTAATTGAGACTTAATTACGACAAAAAGTTGGACATTTTGCCTTTTCCCGACCGACCCCATGCTCACTTAAAGGTCAATATTTCAGAAACTATTCTACCGATTTTCATCAAAATTTACATGCACCTAAGTAGTAGTATACACAATGGGACTACGGGATTATGGACTTTTACAAATTGAGCCCTTGGGAGGTACGTGGACCCGTAACCCCATTGTGTATACTACTGGACTCATGACAATAATCTTTTCAACGTTACGATTTTCTATTACAATACATCAGTTCATGTTTACCCAGTACCTTTAAACAGTATGGAAAATTGTTTGCAAGATTTAGTATAGAACAGTTTCCTGAAGTAAGTGGCTATATTTACACTAGTGAATCTAAACTTTTGATGGGAAGTATATGTAACAATAATTTATCCTGCTTATAGGAAATGACTAAATTGGAATTAGAATGTGTGACTTGGCTGATCGATTGTTATCGTGCAGCTATGGAGCTGCTTGTTAGTCAACATATCTATAACTGGTATGTATGTTCCAAGCTCGAATGTTAGGGACTGCCTTTACAGTCATCTACAAACGTAGCTGATTGTGGCGTAACACACCAACCATACGAACATCTGTGAAACTGGATAGATATGATGAACAAAAGTTTCAACTCCTGGTTTTGCTTGAGCGGTGCGTGTGCGTGCGTGTGTGTGCGTGCGTGCGTACGTGTATGTGTGTGTCGGCCGTTGAGATGTCCCTCCGTTGAGTTGAAACAGATTGTAATCGGCTGAACAAATCTTTCGTTGATATGACACAGTTCTCACTTCAGGGAATTGAGGGAAGTGGTGTTTCATATAATACTAGTTGTAGAATTGTTAACTAATCGGACTATGTAACAACAGCTTGAATGCTTGTTTCATGACTGTGCTTGCCTCGTTATTTGAAACTGCCCATTTGGCAAAAGGAAAACCAAACCAAAATGTAGGGTTTTCAGCGTTCAGGAATTCCTAAGCGTCTTCCTGATCTATAACTTCAGGACCATATCTGGATATCCTTTTGTAAAGGATTCTCCATAGTTTCTTTTATACCTGTATCTAAATCCTTCTGACCTTCTTTTATACCAGCATCTAAATCATTAAGAGGGAGTGAGTAAGTATAGTGAAAAGTCTTGAACAGCCCAGCAATGTCGCACTAGTATTGTGATCAACAAAGTGTATCCGTGTGGGGCATTGTGCCATAAACCCATAAATAATACTAATACTGTGAACATGTGTGACATATGACAGTCAACATTGTGCATGGTTGGGCCAATACCTACTTGTTTCCTGTTGGATTAATTGTTAATAAAAGTATCAATGACACCAAATGTATCTTCATTAACGCAAAACAAAAGAATTTTGTTTTAAATGAAGTTGTACAAAATGAGAGATTTTGGTTATTGCCTTATTGAACTGTTATGTCTCGAATGTTATTTTTATTTATCGTCTAACGCTACACTCAGCAATAGAAATCTGTGAATAATATTTTATCAAGTTGTAAATACTGGACCTCTGTAAGTGTTCATGTATTTGTAAACAAAGACGAAATATTTCAAAATTGACAAGGCATTTTAAAGATTTTGTTGATCCATATTCTTTTTCTACAGGCATGGAATGCGTCGGTCCCTCTAAACGAATGTTGGTTGGAGTGGCCATGAATCTCTTCTGGAGTGCGGGAAACATCATTGTTGCTTTGATGGTCTTCCTGATGCGAGACTGGAAAACCAGGCAGCTTGCAATTAGCGTTCCAGGGATTCTCTTTGCTTATCTCTAGTAAGTAGTGTTCCGTATATCTAATGCTATAATGATTCAATAAGATTGTATATTATATTTTGAAGATTGCGGGCTGTTTATATAAAATGTATTCTGTTGTATTTCATTCATAAAGACAAGATATGGGAATGAATGTTTGTTAACAAACAAATACACCTAAACAACATGCAGTAAACAAAATTAGCTCAGCATGGCTCAGCATTCTTCAATGTGACAGTCTATTTCTTATCGTACTACATCGATGTGCAAACGTCACATTGCTGAACATCTGACGCTTAACTTATCTGTGAGATCTCTACAGCTCTATTGTCACAATAACTTTCTTTTAGATCATATTTTCCTCCCCTACTCTTGAAGACTTGATTTAGTTTGACGTAGACTTTCCCAAACCTTTCCAGTAAGACATTAACAAAACATGAATTCCACAGTGTTGATGCAGGAGTGAGATGCAATGTTAACAGCTATATCGTCAATATAGGGAAATAGACTGTCAACTGCACTTATCGTAGACATATTTTTCATTTCCCCTGCGAAAAGTTTCCCAAGCGAAAGTGAAACAGCTCGCTGAGTACTTTTATTTGTCATGTTTCAACCCTTTCACAAAAGCAATGGCTGGAATGGGGCATCATTTGCTATTTTCACACACAGTACGTGTGTATTTTCTTCCGACGTAGTGCTTCTATTATATTCCAGTTTCCTGCCCGATTCCCCAAGATGGCAGTATAGTAGAGGGAAAACTGCAGAGGCGAACAAAACTGTGATGAAACTTGCCAAAGGAAACAAGGTTAGGCTCACTCAAGATATGCTTTATGACGTGACATGCACACTGGATAATCATCAAGAACAGTTCTGGGAATTGCTGAAGTCCCCTGTCATGTTGAAGAGGATCCTTATTATCTTATACACCTGGTAAATGCATTTAATAACGACAATTGTACTTCAGAAAACAAACTGGGACTATTTCAAACCCAGTTTAGACAAAAGATGTTTTCACCAGTATCAATAACGAAAGTATTAATGTAAAGATACAAAAGACATTCGAGTATTTTCTCTGATTAAAATGAAATAATTCCATATATGAACTCAAGTGTATTCTAGGTTCCAATATGGACAATGTGCTTGACTTACAACGTACTCTACATACCAATATTTCTATCGAAATGACAAACACTTGTACATATATCTATTCTTTGTGTTTTGGTTTTCTGTTGATAGGCTTGCAATCGGTATGGGGTTTTTTGGTCTCAGCATGAACGTCACAAACCTCTCTGGCAACGTCTACCTAAACTTCTTACTGTTTGTTCTGGTCGAGGCATGTGCGTATGTCATATGTCTTCTCCTGATGGACCGCATTGGGCGGAAGAAGATGTTGTGCACTGCAATGCTGATGGCAGGAATAGCATGTGCTCTGTCGTTCGTCCCGTTCTTTGTCACAGAAACCCGTGAGTTTACATGATGCAAATATACATTAGAGAATACGAATCCGTTCTCCAAACTGGAGAAAAAAACCTGTGAGTTAACATGATGAATGAGTGAGTTTATGTTTTCGCCACATTTAGCAATATTCCAGCAATATCACGGTGGGGGACACCGGAAATGGGCTCTAAACATTGCAACCATGTGGGCAATCGAAAACGAACGCATTAACCACTAGATAACCCGATCGCTCCTGTCATGATGAATACGCATTCGTTCCCAAAATGATCGGAAAAGGTACTATGAATCTATGTTATATTTTAGTGGACTGTTTCTTCCCGTAGCTAACAAGTGGATCATCAACATTTTGGCGTGTCTGGGCAATACGTGTGTATCAGCAGGATTTGCCGCCGTTTATGTCTTCACTGCAGAGCTGCTGCCCACAACTTCTCGAAACTTTGGCATGGGCATCTCTTCTTTGTTTTGTAGAATTGGCAGTATATCGTCACCTTATATTAATGATCTGGTTAGTAATCCTATGTAATGTGTATAAATATAATATAAACAGCATGCTACAGTCTTACGTATACCTACATCGAATCTATTTTGTCATCATTGTGCAATTTCGTTGATCATGTTACGTTCAATACTGTTTTCCACTGTCATCCTGTGTTATTTTTTTGTTATTGATATGATTAGTGTTATCCAGTGTCGTATCTTGCTTTAATAACATATCAGTAGATTCAATACCTCGATTCTTTCAGACAATGCACATAACCAGCAGATACAGCCAGATTCTACCTATGTTGATTTTTGGGGGCGTTTCCTTCATTGCTGGACTTCTCGTACTTCTGTTGCCGGAAACCCTGAACGTAAAGCTTCCAGAAACAATTAAGGACGCAGAGAAAATAGGGACGTGAGTGGATTTTTGTATTTGTCAGTAAGTCATCTTCGGCATTGTGTATTAATTCACACTAATGTATCTATTGGGAACATACGTTCGGGTTTGGAAAGAAGTGCCAAGATTGTCCTTGGCTTTAACTATTGGCTTCCATACTGACAGTTTTAGCATTACATATGTGATTGAATAATACATGTAAGAAGAAACTAGGATAAGATACTTGAAATTTGCCGTGCTATTTTGTTGAGTTGATGTCATATTCAAAGGCTGCAACAGGTATGATCATATCCCTTTATAGATCGTTGGCCATTTCATTGTGATATTCATATTTATGGGATGATCTGTCTAGTTGTGCGCGAACAGATCTGCGTTTATGGATATGGAAGGAAAATGCTACACCTCAAATTGACTTTCCTTTCCGAAGTATGATAATGCTTTTGATTTTGAGAAAATATTGCTCGCGTGTAGCAGAATTAGAATGTTACATCATCTTATATGATCACATAATAATTCTTATATAAACTCAAACATTGTGTGTCTGGTAAATCTTCAGTCGATCTGTCACAGGTATGCGATCTTCATGAGTTTGGTTATGGGCTATCGTTATTTTATTGTACTTCTGAAACACATGCGTATGATCTAGTCGGCAATATGCAATAGATTTCTTATGTGTCATTGAATATATAACCATCACATGGAGTTTTATTATCCAACAGAAATGTCACTGATGACGCCATACCTTCTCCGGCACAAGAACTACTTCGCCTTGACAGGGAATGTGGCAGTAGAACCAGTGAAAACGCTTGACGTCCAATACCATTTCATTTATTTTCACAACGTAATGTTTCACACAGGACATACATACATTAGGTTAATTATTTTCCTGTTGCCATGAAGCTTGTTATTGGTTGAAAAGCATGGTTTATACCAAGGGTCTTACACTTAAATTGGACTTTCATTTTGTGTATGGTCCATTTATGTCATTATCTGAAGTGGTAACGCTTTATACCGTGTGTGTCCACCATTGGCGTGGATGACAGCCAGGTGTAGTGTGGACTATTCTCCCTTACACATTTGTTGTAATTGCAGTATATTCTGTTTCCATGGTTCACGTTGACGGGACCTGTGACCTGTGCTATGTGTAAAGACAACTGTCCATATGAAAATGGCGCCTGTCAATTTGCCCTAAATACGAACATGGCATGTTATTTGCCCATACAAAATAGTTCAGGTGACTGTGTCGACTTCGTGTAAATATATTACCTACAGTCAGGATTAAATTGTAATCATTTGTTGATTGAGAGTCTTTAGCTTGATTACGTCGTCGCAATTTTTGTCAATGTCTTTTCGATTTCTTTTTAGATATTCAGGTTGATATATTGCACGGTATGCACGATATGTGCAAAACTGTTGTATGCAGCGAATGTTTATAGTTAAATGTGTGTTTTTCAGGGGATCGGTTTCCATCAGTGATAATTTTTCATTTATATTGCGCGGGATCGGTTTCCATAAAATGATAACGACCTGATGGTGTGAAATCTATAACGTTAATTTTGTCTTTCATCTTATTAGTCGTCCGTGCAGAGAATCCTTTAATTTACATACTCAAGCCATATTCAGAGGATTTACATGTATGCCCTGAGTGGCCGGTATCTTCCCATAAGATAGACCTCCCAAAAGACAGACCGCTTAAAACAACACATTTTATGGTTGGTTGCATAATGCTTAATTAAGCTGTACCCTTGATAATAATGATATGTGCCCAGATAAATAAAGACAAGGTTAGGTATTAACTATAGTGTTATCAATTCATGTAAGGAATTATGATTTTTAAATTAAGACATATTGCATCAACATATATGTACATTAACATATATTTGCCAGATCACATTTACTTGTGAATATTATAAAAAAAAAAATATTCTCCAGTTATTTCTACTTGTGTGATCTTGAGGGTTTTCTTTATGAACATGATGTAACTGACCTCGAACATGTAAATAAGCTTTTTGAGGACCATCTTGGTATATTTACTAAATTGTTGATATGACTTTACGCTGACGACACTGTCATATTAGCTGAGACAAGTGATGGATTGCAAAAACCTTTGAATGTGTTTGACTAGTATTGTAAAGAATGGAAACATAGTGTGAATTATGTTATAGTGTGATAGATGTCTGTGATAAAACTTCACTTTTTATTATACTGTCCAGCACTAAATGCCCTCAGAAATCAATTTCTTCCCCAATATTTTTGTAAACATCCTACTATTGAAAAAATGGTTTATCTATTGAAATGTGATTATTCACCACTTAAATCTAAAGTTGCCAAATTTATCAAAACTGGGCTTTGTTCAATGTTTTAATATGTATCAATATGCTGTATGTTCTCTGTGTCACTATATGTGATTTTTTAGAATAAAATTTCGATTCTATTCTGTTCTGTTAAATATGAGGATTAATGATAATAATAATTATGTTTTGAGAAGGGCACAGGTGATAGGAGTGTGTTGTTACTTACTTACTATACCCTGTAGTGACTCTGGGACAGCTCATTAATTAAATAGGGGTAGACTGTATTGCTCAACTTATTAGTGTACTCATTGAGAAGTTTTAACCAAATGAGGCACACCCCGACCGCGATTCCACCAACCACGAGCGCCGTTTTACGATCGAGGTGTTGCTGATGTTCGACCGCCGATATGGGGCGTGGTGGTGGTGGTGGTCGAACGCGGGGCGGCTCTGGGGTGGCATCACGATCCCCGTTTCGCCGGTATGCGTGGGTGGTGGGACTCGACTCACGTTGACATCGGGATTGACGCCCAGTGTCTGATCGGCGGTCGCGATGACGATTTCGTTGTTGTAGCCCACCACTTTGTGGATCCTTAGTCGCAAGTCGCTCGGAGCCATGTACAGTACCACGCCGAACACGTAGTCGACTTTCGACCAGGCGTATTCCAACGTGTCCTGGTAACGCCGGATGGCACTCGGTAAATCCACCGGTCTGGCGATGGCGTCCTCAACGTTCGACACGAACTGTTTCTGCGCATCGTGGGCCATCCCTTGACCCACGATGCCGGAACGCGTTTGCCACTGCGCGCCCAGCAGCGCCCACACGTACGTTCGAATCGATCGTGTTCAGTCTAACGACACCGGGACGAGTGTAAGTCCGCGGTGGTAATAAACTAGGAGATTTAGACGATGTCGTAACCGGAGGGCTCTTGATAAACACCCAGTACAATTCTCGTTCTCAACGACACATTGAGTCTGTCTTATGGGTGGTCTGTCTTTTGGGAGGTCTGTCTTTTGGGAGTGAACCGAGTGGCCCTTCCCACAGTGGCCCCTGAGTTATCACGCCTTCTTAACGACCCTTCCCAGAGTGGCTCCTGAACACTCAAGTGTTCCCTCACTGGCCTCTGTTAATCCAATCAGCTTAATTACCAACAGTGTTGGACTAATTACGGAGGCATGATGCTTTGACGGAGCTCTGAATACCATGATGGAAAAGAACCGCAAACGAAAGAGTATTTTACGATACATTTACATTATTCATATCCATGGCTTTACATATGCATATTAAGTCATATCACAAGTCATATCACAAGTCACACATTTTCAACTGAGCAATGATCCACAAGCTAACAAATTGGAAGCGATGTCCCTCTTGCACATCATATATTCAAGTCCAAGCTGGTAAATCTGAGTGTTCACTCCTGTAACACGTCGACGTTTAGCTGGTCGATGTCCACCTCAGGGAAAGATTCATTGGTAATGTGGGAATGAACAACATATTAAACCCAGAGTGTATTAGGTACAGATACCTGCAATGTCTTGCCTGTCATCCATGCAATCAGTGGCTGCGACACGACGTCTCATTTGTTATCCCCCGCAACAACGAAGTTGAGGGGCATATAGAAACGAGTTCCGTCCGTCCGTCACACTTTGTCCGAAGCATATCTCCTAAACTATTGTTGATATCTTAACCAAACTTGGTACGCATATCAACCATTATCCCGAGATGTGTATTGTGGGGGTAACACCCATATGGGAATTTTAAATTTTTGCGGTTTCCATGGAAACATGACTTAGGCTGTGACTATGAGGATGTCATCTTGTCCAGAGCAGATCTCCTTACCTATACATGCTAGCTTCATCAGACTTGGTACACATATCAAGCATAATCGCTAGATGTGCCCTTTAGGGGTTAGACCCAGATATGAATTGTATTTTTCGTGGTTTCAATGGACACGTGACTTAGGCTGTGGCTATGAGGGTGTCATCTTGTCTGGAGCAGATCTCCTGAATTATAGATACAAGATTCATCAAACTTGGTACACATATCAAGCATGATCTCTAGACGTGCCTTTTGGGGTTTAGATCCAGATATGAATTGTATTTTTTGTGGTTTTCATGGAAACATGACTTAGGCTGTGACTATGAAGATGTCATCTTGTTGCATTTTCCATGGCAACAAGTTAGGCTTCAACTGAATTTGGTGGTATTGCTCCTTTCTTGAGCAGATCTTAAACCTTTCAATACTCTCCTTCCACTTTGCTGTATACACTCCAAAACATTGACATAATCATAATTAGTAGACATATTCATAAAGAGTATTTTGCCGTTGCGGGGGATATTGATGACTTTGTCTTCTTGTTTGGAATTGGGAAAGGAGCGGCAATGAAAAAGATCTCCAGATGCGACCACCTAATATCTTCAGCCAAAGTCTTTCTTCGCGAAACAAGCACCACAGAAGATGTCATCAAGGCTGGGAACATCTTGTTTCAGCCTTGTATGGTGGAAATGATCAAACGAAACTGAACACATTAAGATCAGAAAAGTTCTCAAGCTGTGTTTTGATGTGTAAAACCTTTCTCCAAGTACACACCTTGCCTCCAACATCCGCTGCCACCAAGTTCCATAGCTTGAGAACATATCTGCAAGTTCAGGCGTGGACCACAAAAAGTGATACCAAATTAGACCCATGTAGTTGGGGTTGGGTGCTGTCACATGGCAGACTTCTGCCAATTAAAACTGACATTGCTCCTGCTCCGGAAACACTGATGAAGATCATACGATGCAAGTGCAAAACAAAATGTGATACCACAAAGTGCACTTGTCGAAAACATGGTTTAGATTGTTCCATTGTGTGCAGTGAATGCAAAGGAACCAGTTGCTCCAACTCATGTCAAGCCACTTATTCAAATTAAGTAGTGATCAGTATTAGTATCCACAAATTGAACTAACAGTTCCAAAACAATTACAAGCATTAGGAAGCATCCTAATGAACAAAAACATCTATGATATAATTTCCATACTGCATCACAGCCAGGTGGGAAGGAGAGCTTGACGTGTTCAGTTGTATGCGTAGTGTAGTTAATCGTTATGTGCTAAAGTTTCAATCACAATTTCTCATGACGTAGTGCTGAACACGAGGCAGTGCTGTCTGATACTCACCTTTCATTTGTTTGAAAACATACATTACATATTTTGAATTTATTGTAATGCCAAGATGTAGCACAGACAATATTTCTTTGTGACAAGCTATGTTCGCTGCCTATGTGGAAACGATCTGAAACAAAGTGAATGTTGCTTTAAGAAAAGATAAAATTGTCCCAAAAAAGCGTTATGTTATGTTATTTTTCAAAATATAGACAGTTAGGTTTCCTAATTGTCAAACATAGTGATCATTTGAACTTTTCCAATTTGCATTATGTGCAAATAAAACATCAAATGTCACCCCTGTCTTTGTGTTCCTAGGTTTGTGACGTGCAAATCGTTGTGTGACTGATATCTCGACCTTTGACCTTGAAAATGACATTTCCAGAATTTTCCCTGCGTCCGATTTTTTGTATGACATAAAGGACACCCCAATAGTGACAAAAACACATAAACAATTTCTGTTGCAATTAGTTTGGGGTTAGGTCATTTTTCACGTAGATTGACTAGCCAAGGAAGGGTGTTGTAACCTATGAGGGGATTCCAGCAAATTCTAAATGATTGTGTTGAGGCGTGGTTTCTACTGGAATTCTCCAGAACTGTATAATAGGTATATAAGGGTATCTGGTATGGCCAATACGGCTTCGTTTTCGAATGACCTCTTCAAATCGGGACTGACAACCCAAATAGGTGTAACCGATACTTGGTTTAATATATTGATGCCTACTCGAGTGTAACACTTCTTTTGCATTACATCACGGATATAAGATCTAATAACAGCTTTCTAATCAGAGTATGCGATCAGAAGTTGTGTCACAGATTTGTTG